TAAGCTATGGTTGAGTTTGGTGAGGTGAGGAGTTAGAAGGTACATAGTAAAGTGAGATTGGGCCAGGTAATGAGAGGTTACATGAGGTGAAGTGAGGCAAGGTAAGTATTTCCATTCCAAATTTGTGATGGCCGTTGATCACTACCATAGAAAAAAAAAGCCTTAGAATTGGTTGAATGAATGGTGTACCAAATATCTAGTAATAATATAAATATATACAATTACAATATCATGTTCTCGACAAAACCGATCAAAAGTTATGCAACACCTGATATGACATGCGTGTTGACAATACCTCAACTATGGCTTTCAAATACCAGCCTAGCAAATGCATTGTTTAACAACGTTTTTTCCTTCACATACACTGGAATTCTTAAGTATTTACACCAAATTACAGCTTTCGAGTCCGCTTCTGCACAACACAGCTCCCACCGTTCGTGACTTGTCAGTGTTGAGTCGAACTCCCTCACACGAACGCTGCATTCGGCGGTGATTTTTTTTTTTTTCTTTCTTTTTTCTTTGTGTGTGTGTGTGTGTATTTATACATATATACATACACATATACACCTATGTATACAGATAGACAGACAGACAGACAGACAGACAGAGACAGACAGAGACAGAGAGACGGATAGACAGACAGACAGACCGACAGAGGCAGAGACAGACAGACAGAGGTAGAGACAGACAGACAGACAGACAGAGATGGAGACAGACAGACAGACACACGGACACAGAGCGAGAGAGAGGGAGGGAGAGACAGACAGACAGACAGAGGCAGAGACAGACAGACAGACAGACAGACAGAGGCAGAGACAGAGAGACGGACAGACAGACAGACAGACAGAGGCAGAGACAGAGAGACGGACAGACAGACAGACAGAGATAGAGACAGAGATAGAGACAGACAGACAGAGATAGAGACAGACAGACAGGCAGAGACAGAGAGACGGACAGACAGACAGATACAGACAGACAGACACACACACAGAGCGAGAGAGAGGGAGGGAGAGACAGACAGACAGACAGAGGCAGAGACAGACAGAGATAGAGACAGACACACACACACACAGAGCGAGAGAGAGGGAGGGAGAGACAGACAGACAGACAGACAGACAGAGGCAGAGACAGAGAGACGGACAGACAGACAGAGGCAGAGAAAAACAGACAGACAGAGACAGAGATAGAGACAGACACACAGAGCGAGAGAGAGGGAGGGAGAGACATACAGACAGATGCAGAGACAGAGAGACGGACAGACAGACAGAGGCAGAGAAAAACAGACAGACAGAGATAGAGACAGACACACAGACACGCAGAGCGAGAGAGAGGGAGGGAGAGACAGACAGACAGACAGACAGAGGCAGAGACAGAGAGACGGACAGACAGACAGAGGCAGAGAAAAACAGACAGACAGAGATAGAGACAGACACACAGAGCGAGAGAGAGGGAGGGAGAGACAGACAGACAAACAGAGGCAGAGACAGAGAGACAGACAGACAGACAGACAGAGATAGACAGACAGAGATAGAGACAGACAGACAAACAGACAGACAGATAATTGGTGTGTTATCTGTATAATATACTAGCTTTAGACAACTATGAGGCAGCGTGAAGTATAAAGAATGGCTCCTCTGTTCTTATTATCATTTTTGTTTTCACATTTGTGCAAAAGCTCATGAATAATTTGTTTTAATTGTAGGATGTTGTTACCAATGGAAACTCAAAGACTCTTATTTTTAAGATAATCATTCTTTATTTTAGCAAAAAACATGAAGAAATGCGATGTGTTCTTATTCCTATGAAGAATTTTGACACGCCCGCTGTAAGACTCTCCAGCTGGTATGCTCGGTTGAAGCAGAAAATAAGTACCTTTTCTTTATATCAACTTTTCCATTTTTAGAGATCTTATTAGGTTTTTTTATTTTTTTCTTAATGTAATATAATTAACGGAAGTAAAATAAAACAATATCCAATCGAAACTAAAAATAAATGTCAGGGTCACGAACACATGGGAAGCCACTTGTAAACAACTCTTCTCGGGAGGCCAGGGCTACGCAATGCTCTGCGGGGGACCTGAAATTAAACTCGTTCTCGCCGCTTGAATTACAGGAGGGAGACATGGATGTTAAAGTGAATTTAGAAGAGGCCAAGAAATTATTATCTGTGCCGGAATCATGCCTCAGGAAAGTAGAAGGAGAGTTAACAGTGCTGGTTCATCCCATGCACTCCAGCAACATCAAGGAAGGTGTATTAGAAGAACTCAGTGCCTTGATAAAGCGGTATTCAAAAGAGTAAGTCACCATAAGTCCTGAGTATTGTCATACAAGGCGTTGGATACGCACACCATTCATCCTGCAGTATTTGTTACCGAGAGTGATGCACCCTCCAGAGAGGAAGTCGCAAAAGCAGGGGTTCACACGCACCGAAAATCCAAATCTAACCTTTCGTACCTTTTATTTATTCTATAGATAGGTAGGAAGCCCTCCTGTACCCTCCTTGGTATTTCTTAACAATACAGATGCACTCACCACAGACTAAGTCCAAACACCATATCACAAAATTAATTAACCCAATGGCGCCAGGTGTACAAAACAAAAAAAAAAACTCTACGCTTAAGCAAATAAAGGTGGCGCACCGACTTTGAGCGCGTGAGTAGGGGACATCAGCCCGAATCACTGGCTCGCTGCGCTTTGGCGCGCCGCTGGCTCGTTTGGCTGCACGCCAGCTTTCGAGCGTTTTGTTTGCACACCGATCGGCATCACCCGGCACCAAAGGGTTAAACAATCTAAGTTGCCATAACTGGACATACCCTTCGGAAACTGCCCGGGGGACGGTTGATGACAAACTCTACCCGCTAACATCCCCAGGGAAGCATTGTCATCACCTTAGTATGCACAAAAAGATAAAGCTGAAACCTGGAAACACAGTGGAATTAGGCTGTGAGCATGCTTTCCATGATCTTTTTCCTTTGTTTGTGGCATTGTCGTTTGTATACAAATTATTTTTTGTACTGTATTATAACTTTTTATCCTTGACAAGAATATCATCTTTAATTTACCCTACCTTAGTGTGTCTATACCATAAAGATTAACCCCTCCCCTTTGTTCGTACTTTGTGCCAGTTGCCAAAGCAATTTTGTATAGAAAATGCAACATTAAGAACTCTGGCTGTGTAGGGGTGTTTGGACTGAGTGATGATACACATGTATTTTCATCATTATGCGGTACATGCAGCAGCTGTACATTTTTATTACTTTTATTTCTTATGTTCTTTAAGATGAGAGTGTCAATTTTCCTCTATCTCTGTGCACCGCTCTTGGTAACATTAACCTATCCAGCAAATCTGGCAAAACTACACCATTTGTTCATCTGTGCTTTATTTTTTTCTCGACTGTATCTTTACCAGTGTGATTATGTATTTAAACTGACTTAATGATGATAATGATGCCCTTAGCAAATGAATGAAACAGTCACATAAAGATGTTACCAAACTAACACTAAATAAGATAGTCCTACACAAGGTAATTGTTTTGTGCTAAATCAGTTTCTACCAAGTGCCCATGGAGAGTGTGTGTAAAACTTCACTGTCATTACTCAAGTATGAGTAGATAGGTAATGCTGGTCATACCCAGAGTGCCCTAGGTTGAGTCCTGGTCAGGGAAGGTTGTTATTTATCAATATCAATGCAGCATTGCATTATTACATCTTTCATAAATATACCTCAGTACATCTGTCTCAGGATATGAATTACCAAATCAACTTCACTGAGTGCCCACGTGGAGTGTGTGTAAAATTTCGCTATCATTACTCAAGTATAAGTAGATAGGTAATTAAATATTCTGTGTAATTTATAGATCATATGTTAAATGTCTATCATAACTATACCTTGGATATGTAGTGTGGATGGACTGCATTCCAGGGATGTAATACTTATAGTTTGCTATTGTACCTCCACTAACCACTATTTTTCATTTGCTCTTTTTGCAGTCCAGACTCTGTAGAAATTATTGTTTCTTTGAATTAAAGGTTTATTAGAATTATTTTAAATTATTTAAAGAAAAAATAGGTAGTTACCTTTTCAGAATTCTACAATTAACAGTTAAATAATAGTGGAATGGCAGCAAACAGTTTGTGAGGGAGCATAAGTAGAAGAGGACTAAAGTGATTCAGTGTTGCTGTGCACCCATTCAGGTTGTGGGTCTGCTAGAAAAAAAACTGTAAATTTTTCTAGAAATATAGATTTAGGTCATTAGGGTAATTATGAAGATAATTTTTATAACCACAATAATACAAACACTACCCAGATTTTTTTCCCAACCCACGCTTGATAAGCCATGTTTAAATGAACCTAGATTCAGAGTGAATAGTGTTGCAAAAAATACAATTAATGTGGTGAGTACTCATTTACATATGGTCTGTATAACTATGAATTATCAATTGCTGTTAATGAATAAATGGTAAATTTCATGAGTGCAATAGATATCACTCATCATTACATTACCTTTTCACTTCATCATTGTCCTTTAGTTGTATTAGTAGGGGATGTCATTAGTTTTCTATTGTGGCACACTATAGAATTAGTAATGTATTCCAAAATATGTCACATATGTTAACATTATTTTACCAAGTCACTTTTTTATTTTGTTATCAAAGAGTGAAGGAGGAAAGAGAGGGTTAATATAGAAAATCTTAGTTAAATAGAAACTGCCAAATAAAAGGCATGGAATGTGAAAGAAGAAGTGTTCTTAGATGCACCCTTGCAATTCTATAAAGAAGTCAACAAAAACAAGTTGAAACTGAAAGCAGTGTGCCCATATGCAAAACATTAAAGATAAGAAATAGTAGATTTCTTAATTAATCTGCTCTTAGTTCCTTTAAGCGAGGGCAGATTTGAAAGATGTGAAAAATAATGTGGTCAAGTAAAGATAAAGTCAATAAAGGAAAAGCAGAAGGCTGATAGTGATGTAAAACTAATTTAGCACATGATATACATTTTAAGTAGAATGAAATGAAAAATCACACTCTAAACACACCTGTCCATAAAATTATTTACTAAAGTTATTAATACTCATGTAAGCAAAGAAACATTAAAATCAAATATGTTTTAACACATGTGCCTAAAATAAAGAACAGCTGTGAGAGAAGCTTAATGTGTACGAATTCTTACAGAAGTATTATGTACTTACTTTCCCTTGAGTACATGCTAGCCAGCAGGGAAGATAAGGACATTGAAAAAATGTTAAAAAGCTGTAGGGACATGTAATGTCCATTGTATTTGTGTGTGTGGGTGTGGGTGTGGGTGCGTGCGTGCGTGCGTGCGTGCGTGCGTACGTGCATGTGTGTGTGTGAATTTTATTACCCAAAGATGAGTCATCAAAGTCAATTAGTACCTCACTAGATTTCCCCATACCTCAATTTTTTCCCACTCTTTCTTTCCAATCCTATTAATATCAATGCTGTTTTTATTATTATTTGCATGTATGGGTGTTGCAAAGAAAAATATTTCTTTACAAATTTATCTGATTTCATTTCAGATTACAGGGGATACCCATGGCTTATGAGAAGATACAGTTGGTTTCATGCAATGGATGGTTGTTTGATACAAATCCTTTCAATCATGTAGTAGTTCGAGCTATGTTCTATGTCTTTACTCCACAAATTGGCAACATATTAGAAGGTTTGTTACACGTATGCATTTTACACATATGAAATGTTTAAATGGTATGTCAGTCATGAAATATGTATAACCCCCAAATCCATTCGGTAAAAGATAATTTTACCTACCATGAGTTTCAAGGATTTGCTTTATTTTTAATGCATCCTTTTATCAATTTTCAGCTACTGTGAAAAAGAAGTCAATAAATCATGTGGGTTGCCTTGTTCATGGAATGTTCAATGTGTCAGTTCCCAGACCACAGGATGAGGCAGTGGAGAATTGGTGTGGCACTTATGTACAGGAAGGAGATGTTGTAAAAATTACCATTACAGATCTAAATATAACCACTTACATTCCTTACATCAAGGGTGAATTGGATCCAGACAGGTTAGTTTTTTTTTGTTTTTTTAATATTCATGAGTATAATTTAACATAAATGTTTTTATCATTATATATGAATATGAAAAAGAGAAATTATTATATTTTTATATCTGAAATATTTATTTGGAATCAACTAAATTTTAAATCTTGAAATAACTGCATCCTGGGCTAACTGCCATATTGTTAAAAGTCTGAAGGATTCCTAAACTCAAACTTTAAGTGCTACCCTTACTAATTACCTCTCCCTTTGCAGTTGGCATTGCTGGCAAAATTCATACCTGAAATTCATTACATATAAAGATTGTGCAATCTTTCTAAGTTTATTACAGTAAAATTTGTAAGCAAATGAGAAAGATTTTAATTATTAAGACATTAATGTGACATATCTACATTACAAAAATAAGGAAGCATTGATCAAGAACTAAATGAAAGATAGGAAACTTTTAAAAATATATATAAGAAAATGGTGGTTTAGATCCAGTTCGCAGATACCAGAAAGGCAGTCAGCCTGTTAAAAAAAGTTGCAGGAAAGATATTGATGAAGTAAAATCTGACTCGTAAATGATCAAAGCAGATAATATTGGGTGATGTCAGTTCAATAGATGGTGCCAGAGACTGTTAGAGATTGTACTTTTTTAATGTTGCAAATGCTCTTCATGTGCAGGGCGGGGATTGCCAGAATTGTTTAAATTGTTAATATTAGGGTTTAAGGAAATTATGAAGGGAAATAATGTGAAAAAGCATTGCAAAAGGCTACACACACCCTACCTTGGCTAAAACCCTCAACTTTGCTCATGTCTTTTGGAAGGCTTTAGGGAAATAGGGAATGATGTTCTAGAATCTCAAATATAACATAAGGTTTTTTGAACAGAGAAAAAGTTTCTATTTAATAACACAACTGCTAGTGTCCTATAATACAGCCATATCTCAGCACATGGTAATTTGGAAAAACAAGTAATGACATTGCGGTCTTCTCTTTAGAAGTAAATTTACAAAAAGTAAAAGATAAAAAGTAGATTCACAAACATGTAAATTATTTTCAAGAGATTACTTAAAATGGGGAACATTTTACTGATATCTTATATTTAGTTATCTATAAGTATGTTTTCCACAAACTCATAATTACAATTTATATTAGTGTCCCCATGCACTTTTTTTAGTATAATTATTTTTATTTCCACTTGTAATTACATAATGGCTACTTCATGGTAGCAAAAAATACTAGTGAGAGGTATAAAAAATACAAAATAGCCTCTGCTAACGAGAATTTTTCAGGAAACAAGCAGTGAGAAAAAATTATTGATTTCTTTTTATAGGGTTCAAGAGTTGGTAGATGCCAGACGTGTGGAGGAGGAGCAAAAGGCCCAAGATAACAAGAAAATTACTTTTGATGATGATAGTGGAATTAGTAGTAACGATCATGAAGAATCTGTTGTGCCAGAAGTGAAGAAGAAAAAGAAGAAAAACAAGAGCAGTAGTAACAGTGACGACCAGAATAACACTGTAATGGATGACTTGGAGGATGAAACTGGAGAAATAGATGGTACTGATGAATCACAAAAGAAAAAGAAGAAAAGGAACCAGGAAGATGGAGAAGCTTCTAACACGGATTTATTAAATGTTGTAGAAAAGAAAAAGAAAAAGAAAAAGAAAAAACACCAAGAGAGTGATGGTGAAGTGAACCCAGAAGAGGAGACTGAAGAGAATGACATACTTGACTCCTTCTTAAATGAGAGTATTCATAGTAACCCTAATGACACACCCAAAAGAAAAAAGAAGAAAAGAGACAAGTTAGTTGAGGAAGAAGCCACCAATACTTTAAGTGATTCTGAAACTAAAGAAACAAAAAAGAAAAAGAAAAAGCACAAGAAGGGAATTGCATTGAGTGATATAGATGGAGAAGTAAAGGATACAGAAGAGAATGATTTTACAGATGTACCTGGTAACTTACTAGATGAAAGAATGCTTAGTGATTGTAATACTACACCCAAAAGAAAGAGGAAGAAACAGGAAGTGGAAGACAAAGAGGTTAATATCACTGTGTTAAATTCTGCTTCCAAGACTAAAGAGGAAAAGAAGCACAAGAAAAATAAGCATAGAGCAATTGAACCAAATGAAGAGAATGAAGAAGTTAATTTAAATGAGATGTTGGATGATCTGATGCAGGAAGCGTCCCCTTCTAAGCCAAGTGGCAAAACTCCTGATGCTGTGAAGCCAACAAAGTCCAAGAAACGTAAAGCAGATGAGGATCTGGACAGTAGTAGACGTAGCAAAAGGAAGAAACTGTAAAATCTGTTTAGAGCATCTAACTGGGGTTTGCATTATTTCTTGGATTGAGACTTTTAAAAAGTATGGTGTTAAGACTGACTCTTTATAATCACCCAGTCTATATAAAGATGTGTGTACAAAAATGAGTGTTAATGGCACTTATCTATGTACACTTTTCACTCTTTTTATTATACTACATGAAAGAATGTACCATTTCTCACCTATTGAATAAACTACCAGCTATTCTTGCTGCTCAATTGTTGTACCCAAGTTGTATGAATAAAAAAATTTAATTGAGAAATAATTGAAAAATGGGGGACATGTAAATATGACTTTCATGAACTTTCATGACAATGCAGTGATTTTTTTTTGTTGTTTATTAAATCCAGTTTACAAAGTCAAAATTTGTTTCATTCAGCCATATCCTTCAGTCAACTCTCTCTCTCACCCTTGCTCTCATATTCACACACACACACTCACGCTCTCACTCACATGCTCACTCATTTAATTTTTTTCCTTCCTACTTATAAGGAACTGAACTAACATATACGTCAAAATATTCTAACAGTTCTTGTGCTGAAGTAGCAGCCCCCAGTGAAGAGTACTTTATATTTCCTTGTATTCCCCTGACTGCATTCCAGCTCTTCCTACACTTCAACTTAAACCATTCAGCTGGTTCAGTAATTTGAATGTATTTTAGGAATTAAAACATTATTTTGAGAATATCATATCACATTTTAATTTCTCAATATATAAGTCTGAGTCATTATTTGAAATTTCTGTTACACCATCTTTTATCATTAGTGCCTGACAAAAGTAAATTAATTGAGATCAAGAATGCTTAACTCAATTTACACACTGAGAACAGGCTGAATGTGAGCAGGACTTTTACATAAAAGACTATACTCTTTCAAGACCTTGGACATCCCATGGTAAAATCAGAAGAATGTTATCAAAGGATCTTTGGTAATAAGGATGAAATAATACTAAATAATGAGGTCATACAATATTAAACCATAAAATAGGTGTCTGATTATATTCATAAAAAAAATATACATCAGAAGAAATTATTAGGGCGACTAGAAATGGCACCTGATACACACAGTTTTCCATTTCACAAATTCTCCACCAAACATTGTAAAGCTCCGAGAACTTCTGATGCTCTTCCATAATTGGGGATGCGAGTAACATCTATCATTATGTGGCAATATACAACACTGGCTTTTGGTTGCATTTCTCCACTACATAAAAAATTAATCTAAACAGTTTTGAAATTGATGTATTTTTTCAGACGGGATTTTATTTTGCAATCTATTAATGACTATAATACTATGTTTAAGATACTTGTGCTATGACTACAAAAATAAATTGGAAGGGAAAATATATTCTTATTGCAAAATAGATTAAATGCAATAATAGCAATTCACTAACACTTTCATTTAAACAATTAAAATTATAGTAAAAAATAATGACAATGAATGTGCTACTGATAAATAGATATATAAGAGCAATAATAATAATTCAATTATTTTATAGATATATTTGTTTGCCAGAGCTGAATAATGATGGTGTAAGTACTAACAGCAAAATTTTTTTGTTTTTTCTATATTTGATGCTGGGCATTTATAACACATTTTATTTTCCATGTGATTTTTAATTAGTTTTACATGGAAACAATGTCATATAAAACTTCTTTGAGAAGGAGTTTAAAAATATCTACTTTTACCCTTAGAACTTGATTTTTGAGCTTCTACAGTTTCTCCCCCTACATTTTATAAGTTCTATATAACATTACATCACATCTGGTATTACATTAGACATTTAGAGCACAGTTACAAAGGACTTTCCATCAAAAAGTAACAATTACATTCATTCACTTGAAATACTTCCTGTAAACTGACAATTTCAGTTTAAAAACAAGCTGAAAGAGAATTTCTCCTTGCACTGAACTGTACCATCTACTTTTATCTACCGAGAACTTGTTTTACGGCTTTCCATTCATCTTGCGATAAGGGCTTGAGGTTCGTTCCAACTGTTTGCTGCTTTGCCTCTAAGTCATTTAAGTGGTTCACTTTACTTCTCAGACCATTGCGAAGATTGTTGATTTCGGTATCCAACTGCTTTTGTTCTGCAATAAAAAGGAGTTTTTTCGTGAAATCAGATATGGCTTATCTTTTTCTTTTAAAACTTAAACCTCTTTTTTTTCTTTTTCTCTTCTGTATCTCTCCACCAAAGTTGCCTACTTATTCACTAATATTTGTTCTTCTTTCCCCTCTCCCTGTCCCTGTCTCTCTCTTTAATGCACAAAACTAATTATACTTACCTTTTTCAATGCAGTCTACAACAACTGTGTTTGGGAGCTTCAAAAACATATTCCCAACACAAATCCAACTCTTGTTGCCTGTGGACTGACTGGCTAATTTGTTGGTCTTCAATTGTCGCAGAGCTTCACGGTTAGTATTACGTCGACGATCAAGCGTAACAATTTCCTGTCGGTCTGATATGACATCCTCTGCTGCAGCTTCTACTTCTTCTAACTGTTGCTGGATACGTTCTGGAGACACTGCCATTATTCCTGCCAGAAATGATGCTAACATCACAACACATTTATATAGCTCTGTTACATATAAAAATACCTAGAAATACTTTTTTTATATACATTTATTAATATTTCATAAAAAAATAAATATAACACACACACACACACACACACACACACACACACACACACACACACACACACACACACACACACACACACACACACACACACACACAAAGAATTTAAACATTGATTTTATCTATAAATCTCATTATGTCCATCATCAAAATCTTCATATATTCATATATTTGGCATCCAAATAAACATGGTGAATGACATAAGAGAACAATCTAACCCACTGGCACCAGGTAAATGCACTGGCCACAGTTTTCTTTTGTTAATTCTGTGTTCCACACTGAATAATAATAATAATAATAATAATAATAATAATAATAATAATCAAGGAATTGGGATCAAACAGGCCTTGTAGGTGGCTCCTTGATAACTAAGCACTTATAGAGCCACCTGGGTGAACAACATTAATAAACTAAATTTACTGTGTGGACAGGGCTCTACCAGTTAAGCATAATTCATTTAGTTCCCATAAATAGTACAAACATAATATCAAATTTAAATCAGTTATTTTACTTTCTATAATCTGTTAAATAAGTATATAAGGTATTTCCTGAAGACATACTATAGCATACATAAGTTATTCAGTTGGAATTTTGTAGAGTACCTTTAATAATCAGGTTCACTCAATTCTCTTCTTATGTCTATCTCTCTTCTTTTTTCTTTCATTCTCTGCCGATTTCTTTCTCTTCTACTAATTGTTCTTTGCCTTTCAATCCTTTCATTACTAGTGTGACATCGCTGAACTGCACTTGCATCACCAGGACCAAAATGCGTAACTCTTAGAGAAGTTTTATTAACTGCTCCTAATCCTTTACGATCATTCTTTAGTGCTGTTTTGACTGGAAATTTGGCTCCAGAACTATCAGGACCAAGACCCTTTTCTGTGTCCCAGCCTTGGTTCACAAGGATCTGAAAACCTTTATTACTTGCAGGAATTCCATAGACTGTCTTATTACTTCCTGCACCAACATTGAACTGATGAACAATTGACGTTTCATGCTGAAGACGTGTACTAGTTTCAACTGTTATTTTGCATATATCACAATAAAATTTTTCTATTACATTATTTGAACTTGAAACAATATCTTTATTAGTACCAGAATCCTCATCTTTTCTCTTATTAGCTTTTATTAACATATCCACAATGCCCTGGTGACCCTTCAACATTGCTAGATAGATTGCAGTATTTCCTTTAGAATCTCTTGTACCAGTTCTAGCTTTTCTTTCCAATAAAGTTCTCACAACAGCTTTAGCACCACCACAAGCAGCAACCATAAGTAATGACCATCCATACTCATCTTTTGCATTTACACTGAGGCCGTTGTCCAACATCTGTCGTAAATTTTCTGCTTCATTATTCTGGGCATGCTTCATTGCTTTGTGTAAGGTTTTGGGACAGCACTTTTTAGCCTCTACATTTACCTCCTCATCTTCAGAGCTACATTCTTCTTCTAAGAAATCTGTATGAGAGGAACCAGTATTTCTACTTGTGCTTGCAACTGCATCTTCCTGTAGTAAGCCTTCATAGAACTTTTTAGCATCCTCTCCACTGATATAACTTTTATCAATACGTTTTTCTTCTTTAGATTCAGACAGGGTTTCAGGTTTTGCTTGGACAAATACTTTCCATTTCAGATGTGCTGTTGCTAAAACCTTCCAATTTGGATGAGGGAGATCTCCACTGTCCATCCTGAAACATCAAGAGTGAGAACTTAGCCAGTAATAGGCTTAAAAACATTAGCTCTTACGTTTTTATCAAATGACCCACCCAAGGAGGAAATATGATGCCTATCCTTACTTTTAGATACTGGCTAAGTTCTTGACATTTTTATGAATCCAAATACAGCCATGTTAAT